TAAGACAATAATGAATAAAAATTTTGCTGTAGTTTAGTTGGTAGAATGATACACACAGGCTGTTTATCGTCCAAGAAAAGATACCCTGTTAAAGACAAAAAATGATAAAATCGATGCCGCACGTCCCCATTTTGCCCTTATAAGGAAGTACCTCTCACCCCCACTCGGGGTTCTATTAATGGTTTGGCATGCTAACGAAAAAGAATCTGCCCAATTTGCCAACTAGCATAAGATCTTTTAAGAGTTTAAAAACTTAGTCATGATTCTTTTCACTTCACTTTTTTATCGATCTACTCTAGTGCCTGCAAAACCTGCGCTCTGGGATTTATTTAAAAGATCTTGAAATGTTGCAAGTATATTTTCTATTTGTTTTGACTCTCACACTGACAAGTTGGCAAAAAACAAAAAATCGAAAAAAAAAAATGGTAGGTCCCATTTCACCCTCTTTGCACGGTATTAGAGACAAAAAAAAAACGAAAAAGCCAAAACATAACTTTTAGGTGCGAAAACAAGGATTTTGCTGAGTTTTGTTGTGCTTGCGCGTATTGTAGCAGCCGGCGACCATGTGACTGACCATACAGTACGACTACTCAAACCGGGAAACTTGGAAGAAGATTGTCCAATCACAACGTTTTTGAAAACAAAAGATTCTCGAGTTGTTTTGCAAACGGACCAATAAAATTAAAGATTCAAACATGCAACCGTTGAAAACTTCAAAACCGTTTCAACTTACCTGAACTCTTGGAAAACAGTCCTCAAATTTATGAATGAAATTAGTCCGTTTGCAAAAAAAAATTGATAATCTTTTGTTATCAAGAGGTTGTGATCGGACAATCTTTCTGCCCCGGTTCGAGTACTCACACTGTGATAGGGGTTAGAACTTCGTGAAATTTAGCCACTCTGAAAAGGCAAGATTCTGGACACTGTTGCTAGGCGCAGGAATTACTCCAAATAATCAGTCTTTAGTCCCGCGCTGGGGGCTACTCCTGGGAATTCTTGATGGCGGGGGAGTGTTCTGCTCGGTTCTCCAATCATGACCCAGTTTTTCAGCCAAACAATAGCATGTTAACACCCGTTTTCAGACCTGGTCTCAAAGAAATCAAGTCATCATTACTTAGATTAAAACGCCAAATAAAAAGATGTCTTGCAAACCTCTTTCTTTCTTATTCATTTGGAATTGAAGCGACAAATACGTTCATACACTCCAGTAGATAGTTTCCTCAAAAACCATACCCGACTCCAGGCCAAAATGAGCAGAGTGTATACCCGTCTTCGAACCGAAAGGGGGAACATACCTCCTATTTGGCCAGTATGTAAGGAATACCACCCTCGGCCCCGGCGTCTTTATCTTAGTTATCTTTTCACTGGATGTCCTGTGACTTTTGCAGAAACGGTGCCACGCGATCACACCCAGCCCCAACCTCAAATGGAAACATTCTGAAATACCCTTGGGGGAAGGTTGGGAATAGACCGCAATAAAGTTTACTTTTACGCTCGCCGCACGTCGTCGCTCTGTGGTTGTCGCTCTGAGGAAGGAAGGACAACCGCTCATGCCGGTCTAGGTTGGATACATGTCCGCAAAACTCGCCACAGGTTTCTTAACATGCTACGACTACTTTGTTTGACCTTGACTCTTGACTTTTCTTTTCTCTTTTGCCTACTTTTGCATTTTTTAGCGGTTTTCATATTTTAGGGCGAGGGAAAGGAAAAGGGAGAAATTTCAAGGACGTGCGCACGCGCGAGAGGAGAAAACGAGACTGCCTCCGGGTTTCCCGTTGTCTTAAACTTTGGTGAGAAGTGCTCAAGCCATAAGAGATGCATTTCATAAATGATATTCATCATTTGTCCATTTTATGGTCCATTTAGGTATGTACGTGTTTGTTAATTTATTTATTGAATTTTTGTCGAAATTTACATCACGCATGGAACGTCCCTGGTCACACAGCGAGAAAGATAAGTTTGCTATATGAATATACTGATGTGTATATCAAGGATACAATGACAGTCTAGTGCCAACGTTTGCCTTTTACATGGAGTCAGTGACAGATGAATGAGCATTATAAAATCAACAATTAGTCAATGTGTTACACTCCACTTTATTACCTTTTCTTACTTTAGGTTATCATGTACAAGTGTGGTATTATTCAAACACAACTTTGAATACATGTGCACTTACCAGTTATGATTATTAACTGCTACAGCTGTAGCAGTAATATTATCACGGATGATACAAAAATAGAAAAGAAATAATAATTCAACAGGGTCTTTTAAGGACTAGGGCATATGCATGAGAGTATCCTGTATGAATTCCAAGGATTGTCATTAAATTTATTTCCTTTACCAGCATATTGATAAAACGGATGAAAAAATTGCCCCAAAGTTGTATTTAGTGCTCTGTGGTGAAGGTGTACGGAAGCTAAGGAAAATGCATGTAATTTCATATTGTCTATTAAACAGACAAATAGACATGTATTGATTCAAGTACATGAAGATGAGGGAGACTAAAATGACACTGTAGGGGTTTTATTGCATAACCTACACTGTACCCCCACCCCCCCCCCCTACCCTCACAATAATGTCGGTAGTAGCACAGGCTGTACTTCGAGAGATTGGGCAAAATGAAAGCTCTACTTCCTCAATTCTACCACAAGCTCACATGACGTAACTAAATGGTTACATAAAACCCAGAGGGGGTAAAAGAGGGGGGAAAACAAGGTCTGTGACCAAGCAACAATGTTCAGCAGATAATTGCAGTACAATACATGCATGTTTCCCTGTGTCTTACATTTTTTTAAGAAGCAAGAGGCAATTGTCATATTTTTCCTTTGGTACAAAAGCTGTGAGAAACATCAAACACAAGTGATGGTGACCACTTCAACCTTTTCTTGACTGACTTCAAACGCTGTGGTATCCAGTTTATAAGGTTGTGACATTATTTTTGCCATGCACGTGATCAGCAAACAAAATTTTATACAAAACAATGCCCTTGATGATTGCTTCATGAGTTGGGAAAGCACTGTTCACTTTTCATTCAAGGGAATATATGGGGATTAACCCTTAGGAATGGACCATTACAAAAGTGATGGGGGGGGGGGGGGAAAAAAATCACGCAAGGGGAAATGTCCAAAAAAAATTCAAGCAAAGTGAAACCCACAGAAAGAAAAAAGTCATGCAAAGGACAGAACTGCTGTTTCACATTAAAGCCAGAATGAATCCCGTTTGCTAATAATAACTCAATATGCAGGGGACATACGTGTTCCAGCTTCATGACCTCAAGAATCAAAGACAAAGATATGATATGTTCAGTCAAAGTTTATGGTACTCCATGCACTAATAATGCATAATCTATGCACTAGAAAAAAAGAAGGAAAACCTCTTAGGTTGCAATTTACACTTCTATCATGAGCTTATGACTTGCGACTGATCATGAACTGTCAACACTTTATTTCAAGCTAATGACTTTCCATAAGTTGCATGCACTGAGACTTTGAGAACTGGAATGACATGAAACATAAACCACAGAAATTTTGGTTGGTGGAAATTTTTTTTTTTAATTGATTGAAAATTACTCCCATACATATTAACGACAGTGAATCACGGATCACACCAAAAAACTATTAAAGTGAAATGGTTTGGTATTTCATTGGTGTTTATATAATAAATAGTGTTGAAAAAATATTTCACTTGTTCGCTGCACTCACTTGTGAAATATTTTTCAACACTTGAAGAGAAATATTGTATATCTGCACGGTCATGTAATATCCTCTATATTTGCTTTTTGGGGGAAGAAGGAGATTGTCATATAGTGGATTTTCTTGAAGTTTACAGAAAGTTGATTAGTTGAAAAAAGAGCACAAAACGAAAGACTTTTCTCAACTCTATAATTAGCTTACAAATAAGAGACAGACTTAATATTTTACAAATTAATGATTTCTCCATTTCTGATTGGCTAAACTCACACGTATAACCTCGGAGGGTGTTATCCACAAAGGCCGATAGTACTCAGTCCTCAGTCTGCAGAATTCTTCATATCCAACTCAGCCTCATTCATCAATTCATCATTAAATAATTTCGAAACATTATTATTACACCATCACTTGTCACACATTATTAGCAACACCAAGTGCCAAATAAAGTAGCTCTATCTTGCGAGCAGAGGTTTCTTTCAGGTATGGCTTTTAGTATTTACAAAGCCATTTATGTTGCTATAAGTCATGATCAAGTGCAGTGTGTAGTTGATTTGTTTATGCATGTGAACGACTTTACAAATGCTAAAGGCAATGCCAGAAACCTCTGCTTGCAGGGTACAGTAGCAAGATTCAAAATAATTAGTTTTCTGCTTCACAATGAGGCCAGTGTCAGAGGGTAATAAACATTATCATAAGAACAGAAATGTGTAATGCCATTAATTTTATAACATAAATATGGTCTCATGATTGCATGAACAGTATCTAATGTTAATAACATCAAACTTCTGACCTATGGCTGGGTCAAGGCATAAATAGACTAGAAATGTGGTAACATATATCAATATAATTGGGAAGACTCATACACAACTGAGTTCTAATACAGGTATTTTATTAATTCAGCTTTCAAGAAAGTATTTCTAGTTAAGTGAAAATAATGAGTGGGTCATCTCTTCAAATTTTACACATTTTAAACTTCATGATGTATTGAAACATGTCCTCATGTAAACAAATACTGATACTGTAATTATTTCATAAAGTAACATGAACTCATGAACTAGTTTGCACTATGATAACTTAATTTTCCTTTTTTTTTTTGCTTGATAATTGTTTTCCCTTTTTTCTTTCTGTTTGCTTTCTGCTACAAAAGTTGGTTTACCCCTCAGGATCAATATTACATGGCATGGCATTGGAGTTATCAGGAATATTTTCTTCATCACCACAGCTGCCTTCCCCTGAGCACTGCTCTCCCTCATGAACCTGGGTGTTTTTTTCTTGGGAACCATTTGCCCTCTGGCATGGTTCAAAACTGGGCCCATTTGTGTTTACCCTTACCAACTCAAGCACAACATGATTGCACTCCCCACTGCCCATACCTCTGGCTCCACAAAATGGTTGCATGCCCCCCCGAGATCTACATCCTCCGCGGCCACGAGCTCCTTCCATAAAAGGGCATCTTGGAGAGAATCCCGCGCGGCCTCGAGGGGCGCCCGCGCAGGGACCAAAACCACCACGACCGCGCATCATAGGTGAAAACTCTTCCGGAAACGGGCATCTTGGAGGGAAACCGTGAAATCCTCGTGGACCAAATCCAAAGCCACGGTTCGGACGAGGGAACGGCCCGCTCATCATGAAGTTTCGTCGATCATGGGGTGACTCAGGTCGTGGACAAAACTGTCGCCCTCGAGGAGCGAATGTACCGCGAAAATGATGCGATGAATTATCGTGAAACCCTCTTCCTCGGTGACGAAAACCACCTCTTGGACAAAAAGAACGACCTAAAGGCTCTGATGAAGGATCTTCTTCGTCATAGGAGCTTCTTGGGTCGCAATTTTTACACAAAACGACATCTCCACAGACAGCACATCGAAAGAAAGCTGTTTCCAATGTCATCTCACAATTTCGGCAGACTCGGGGCATCTCTTTGCTGCAGACTACCATTATGATGTCTTGAGGCTCTTTAAAAGATCTTCCTTGAAGCAAAACTCTTGATATCTTCACTCTTACGTTGAATTTTCTGGAATGATACGACAAAAAATCGCTCTCCGGCTTTTATCCTATCTCAAAGCGCAAGCATTGCATGACCCTGCAGTTTCTAAATTTAGACACATTACATCAAAGACTCAGAATACATAGCTACGTCTTTGGATGCACAACTGAGCGGGTGTGGGGTGGGGGAGGAGGTCTACTGATCATAGTCTTCTCATCCTGGCCCAGGCTTCTCGTTTTAAACATGTGCCTATAGTTCAACTGGGGCCTTCAACCGGAAGTTGACCTGCTGACGCATCAAATTGGAGGCCGAGGATTAGTCAGCCAAGCCTCAAGCGACCTGATTTGTATTTCGTCATTCACAGGAATAATGCTACTGAGAAAGTATTTGTCTGCACTATTTTTATTTTTCCCGTGCATGATACCATACTTTGTCCGTCCCGCGCGAAGGACACGCGGTTTCGCCAAATACCCCAAATTTTCCTACCCCCAAAAAATCCAGGTATCGAAAATTTCAAACCCCACAAAATCCTTCAAATCCCCCCGTCACCTGAACTCTCTAGCTCCTAGGAGAGGCCATGGATAAGAAGTAACAAGGTTTTTCCTTTTCACGAGTATTCAACATTTTATTATTGCACCGAACCACAGAGTATGTACCGTACCAAGACTCCAGAGGTCCGTTCTCGAAATACACCTGGGATGAAATAACCGTGCGAATGGCAATTTGAGGAACTAACCGGAACTAGGAGAGGAAAAAAAAACCTCTATCACCAGACTCAGGGATAACTATATCATAACCTACAAAGACAAAGGGCACAGCGGGCGTCTTGCCCAAAATAGGTGTTTCCTAAATATTTATGCAAATTATTAGTGACCAATTACCACCAAACTATTACTAATCTACAGCCTGTAGGCCTATTTTTGAAGTGTGCTTTCGCATCTTTCTGATCTTTACAACGCGAAGTAAGAATGATGGCAGCTGGTTTTCCTTGAATGTCTTGCTTTACACTTTAACAGGTAAGTCATATTTGTGTGTAGCTACTCCAAGAGTAGACAGGCAAAACGCTAGCCTCCCACGCAGGCGTTTTTAGGGGAGCTCGTATTTCTTCCCTCCCCACAATAATTATCAGATTACCTTGCGGTCAAGGTCAACTTTCCAGAATTTGGAAAGTACAATGTGATTGGCTAAGCTTGGGAAAGGAATGTTGTTTTCCGTTGAGCAGGCGTTTGTGGGGAGGGAAGAAATACGAGCTCCCCTAAAAACGCCTGCGTGGGAGGCTAGCAAAACGCCGGAAATATTCGAATTCGCCGGTGACGATATTAAGGGGGGGTCTACTCACTAGAGCAAATTGATCCCATCTCTCTGGTCATTTCATACTGGCGCAAACTGCGAGAAATTCATGCGATCATGTCATTTTTATTATTATTGATCCATCTTTCTGGCCCTCCAGCCTGGCCGGCTCTTTAGAATTTCGCTTGGAAATCGCTCACTGCCCTTCGCTTGTAACTTGTATAGCCGGCCGGTGTGGGACGATTGCCCAAAATTAGCCTTTGCCGAGCAAGCTCTCCCGGTCGCCCTGGAGTTCCGTCGCGCCGTCAGAGCGCCGTGAAGAGCTTGCTCGCAGGCTACAATAGCCCAAAATTGTTTCGTCCCGAGGCTAATGGGAATGTGCCGCTGGATGGGGTCGCATTTTCACGAGTGGATTGACTATAATGTTGCCCGCGTCGCAGACTCTAAACCTTCTGTATAGAATTGGTATGTCTCAGACTTTTCTAACTCACCGTTTGTTCTTGTTGAACTCTATAATTATAAAATGTAATATATGGTTTGTCCGTTACCTGCGTTTTTACAAGGCGTTGAAAGACCATTTCTTTTCCTGGAAGGTGGCTTTCCTTTCTAGTGTGGTCGTTTGGTTAGCGGTCGTCCGCAGAGTCGCAATCCGGTGGTCTCAGGTTCAAGTCCTTCACTGACCATTGAAACAAAGCTGGATTTTCTGAGAGTTAGATAGTTAGCCTGAATGAAGTTAAGAGGGGTTTGAAGGAGGGGGAAGAGGGGGATTAAAGCGCGCGAGAACGCGAAAGTTTGTCGGTTGACTGAGATTCGAGATACCCATGGCATGGGTCTGAACTCTGAGGCTATGATCACAAACTATCGGAAAGCTCAGGACTGTTCACGATGGTAATGTCGGCGCAATTTCTGTTACGGAGCGAAGCTTCACCTTGTCTGTTTTCAAAGTGGATCGTCACATAACGGGTAGGTTTCTATCACTCTTCGTAGCATCGTGAACAGGTAGAAGTGGGAGCGAGGACTGGAACCCCTGGCCACTGAAACGCAAGTAAGTAAATAACTAAGATAGTACGCGCGCTCTGATTGGCAGAGAGGAGTGTTTGCATGAGAGTATGTAAACATGGTTGTGGCGTCAAAATGTTTTGCTTTTCGCGCGCTAATCACACAAGCCCAAATTTGAAAAAGTTTTCAAGTTCACGTAAAATTCGACAAGTTTACTTTATTTACCCATTCCTTCGTCGACTGAAACTTGGAAAATCCTTACAAACAAGGTGTGTCAATTTTTTTTCGCTTAAGCTGACATTTTAAGCGAGAAAAATCGGTATTTTGGAAAGCATCTTTTTGCAAAGCAAGAACTGATTACGCGTGCAAGACTTTGCTACTGGTAAGAATTTCTCTTTTAATCATGACCGTGACAAAGAGTTTGCGTTTTTTCTCGGAAGAGTTATTTTATAAAAGCAATAGAAAACGTTTTTTCCGTGTTTGCATAGCCTGATATAAACACTCGAGGGATTGGGAGAATTCTCGACAGTTATACAAACCTTCGACTTCCTCTCGGGTTTGCATAACTGTCTCGAATTCTCCCAACCCCTCTCGTGTTTATATCAGGCTATGCAAACACGGAAAACGTTCTCTATTGCTTAAATGTTAGCCTCCCCTCTATAACCTGCGTCACCGTCGTAATCTGAAAAACAATTTTACAAGGGTAACTTATACAGTTAGTAGCTAGCTGGTTGGTTAGTTATTGTGGTCCAAAGTGACTGAAACAAGTATTTTCAGTGTCAAACTGAGAAGTAACATCTCAACTGGCCTCAGAGACAAACTGATGGTTATAATATTTACAAGCGTGGCCAATGTTCGGTACTCCCGAGTGGCCTGCAGAGCAGGATATATTCAGTCCCGTTTTCTGCGGATACTCTGACCTTTGTAGTAAGCGATGTTACAAACTCTTAAATGTATTGTCGCATTAACACTTTCGTCACCAGGCCAGAAATTGTGCAAGTTTAATGTTTGATATTTCCTTAAGTATTACATTTACATACAAAGGTTATCAACTTTTACCATCTCTTTCAGATATTGCAGGAAGCAAATTCAAACGATTTAGCATTTTGCTTTTTCTTTGAAATCCGTTTATGGTAATGTTTATAAATGGTATGAAGCGCAGGCGCAAAAAAAGGCAAAACGCTGCCCTTCACACAGTTTTCACAGCTCAAAGGGTCCTCAGACACTGAATCATGTTTTTAAACATGAGTTTTAAAAAACTCAATCAAGTTCAAGTTTCAAGTTTATTTCAGCATAAAAGTTGAAAATCTACAAACCGCTCTACCAGCAAATAGCAGGGCTATCCCAGACGGGTAGAGCAATCATCGGTGGCGGGTCGAGACGTTCAGGTAAGGGAGGGACCTGGTCATCCAGACCCTGAGATAAGGGTGTGGGCGGGGGAGGTGGAAGCTGTCTCCAAAAAAGTTTTTTTGGCCCTTCGGGCCTCAGTTTGGTATAACAATAAGGCGGAGGCCCGGGTCCCCCGGGCCCCTCCCCTGGATCCGCCACTGATCATTATTCACTAATCAATATCTAGAGACAACCTGGAACATGACCTGTGACCAATTAATATACAGCTAAATCAAGATAGGTTGCTTCGTAATTGGTCATTTGGCATGGCGTTTGGGAATACCTATGGAGCAATGCAATGATTTACTTGAGCGGCCACCTAACAATAGCTTCACAATGCGCAATTCCCAATGCCCAAAGCAACCTTTATTGGATCAGCTACATATAGATATACCCGGGGGGGCGGGGGGGACGCTCCGGATTTCAAGTGACAGGGATGATTGAATGGGGGCAAAAACCTTGGACCAAAATTTAACCCCCAAAAAATCCCATGCCCAATTTCCTAGCCATAAAATTTTCCATAAAGCATTAACTGATATGACACGAAAAATAGAAACATTAGTTTTGAATACCCCAAAAATCCCCACTTAAATCAAGCTATCCAAAAAAATACTTTCCAAAATTTTCCTACCAAAAAAATCCCGAAATCGAAAATTTCAAACCAAAAAAATCCTTCGATCATCCTTGTCACTACAAATCTGGAGTCTCCCCGCTGGGCAGATATGTCACTATTTGATGCTCAGTTCTATGACTAAAATTGTAGATGATTTATATTCAGTTGCAAGGGAAACATGAACTGACATATCAAATCGGGTACCTGAGTGCGAAACAAGAACTCAACAGTGAAATTTACCTGACCTTGTGCCAGATTTAAAACTAATAGTGAACGATATCAGTAAGTGCTGGTTATTCGTAAGACAACGAGAATTATCATAACTTCAGTTTATAAGCGCCCGTTTCAGAATTTAATCTGAAAATTACTGATTGCTTTCTTTGGAAACAAAACACTGAACCATGAATCCTACTGCAAGTCCTTGACCATATAATTTCTGCCCTTGCAGAAGTTATCAGCCGCTTCCATCCACTTATCAACAACCTTCTTTATGCACCGTGCGGATAGTTGATGCATGGATCTTTTGTTGTCGTGGTAGCCATCTTGTGCCGGATTGAAAACGCCCGAATTCATCCTGAAATCTCCGTTCATCACTGAGAAACCTTCGGCGTTGACATCCCTTTCTGTACATTCTTCGCCAAAAGCGCTTCTGTAAACTGCACCATGTACAAGCCCCGGGCTGTATCTTTGATATTTTTTAACTTTTTCGGTTGAGGTATCCATAATGACAAGATATCCACTCTTACAGCGGGTGCCATTGGCGGTTTGCCACTCCGATTTTCCATCGCAAGAGTAAATGATGACACCAGCGTAGCGATAAGCAGTTCCTTGATACGCATCTGACTTGCCAGATATATGGATTGTCTCAAAGGGAAACGAAGGAAGATCAGGGCATGCTGGGCTCGGATTGCTTACTAGCCTGAGTACACTTTCTTCTTCCTCAGCTGAAATAAAGCTTGCACTGCTGTACGTTCGGTTGGCCATCGAGGAAACCCAAACTATATTTCTTTACTTCCAAGCAGCGACATTGATAATTCACGCCACAAGCCTTTGTTCCACTCCGCTTTTTTCCGAGAAAAGCGAATCACAATTAAATGGGAAAGACATGTGACATTCGATCATTATTAATAATATATAGATTTAGCGAGGGCTATAAACGTCGCTCCAGTTATTTAATTTTCCTAGAAAATAATTTGCAAACAGTGCAAGAAGGAGACAACATCTAAAATCGACTACACCAATAAATAGCAATCGCCTTGGACCACATTAGATAAGGCGTTGTTTAATTTGTTTATCGTTTAGACCTCGGACAGAATTTATGTCATTTTTTGCCCTATTTTTGGTTATAATGCGCAGTTTTACGAGACAAATTACACTCATTCAATAATTACTCAGGAAGATCGAAGCACGCACTTCCCTCCCACAAAAAAAAAATTATAAAAATGACAACAACATTGCTTCGGGTCGTTTTCTCCTCTCAACAACGTCTGAAATGCCGTCCAGTGACGTCACTCACTACCCGAAAACCGGTATAATGTATAATTATGAAAAATTTTAGCCGGATTGTAGCTTGATATTCAGCGGATCGCATCAGTGGCATCCTTTGGGTTAGTTCAAACATGTCGATAAGCTTAATCTTTATCTTAAACAGCAAAATTGCCCTTGTCTTCGATACTGAAATGCTAAATTGAACTGCGAATGAAGAATTATTGCGGAGAGTCGGTAGGTTTTTCATTTAGAGCCGCTTTGTGGTTTCGGCGGCCGGTGATTTTGTTTACCCGAAGTTTTCTGAGATTAATGTTATAATTCGACCTTCTTGCTATTTTTACCATCAAGTGTAATGATTCTGTTAGCTTTTCTTTCTTGTCTCCTTGTTTTTTTCTTCGTTAAGTCCCAAATAGCTTCTTTTCAATTAAAGTTTTGAACTACTGAGTAAGTGTTCCGTGTGCAGCTGCGTGTGTGTGTTTAATTATTTCATTGCGTGATTGCGACCGAGTTTGATTATAAACAATTATTGGATGAGGTTTTTGTGATATCCGGAATAATCAAGGTCGAGGTAAGAGTTATCAGCCGAAGCCGAAGGCTGAGGCTGATAACACTAACCGAGACCTTGATTATTCCGGATATCACAAGAACCGAATCTAATAATTGTTTTATTATACTTTATCTTCAAGTAATTTCTCAATTTCTTGCTGGGTCGATGAAGCGAATCGAGAAGCCATTCTTACTTCGCTGTCCGCGAACTTGACATTGCTGTCCGTGCACTTGACATTACTCTTGGAAATCATGCATTGCGCGCGCAATCTGTAGGTACAGATTAGTGAATAATCTGTAGGTTGCGCTGTTTCCCAGAATTAACTGTAGGCTTTTAGCCAATGAGAAGACAGATGGTGACTACAATGTATAATAATAGAATTTAGTACAACCTGTTCAGAGTTGTACTGCATGCAATTGATAGTTTGAACGTTAAACATGAATTACGATCGAAAAAAATAAAGCAGTTCTGTATCATGACAGACGTGATTTCCAAACGATATCGGTTTACCACTTGAAAATTTTGCATGAATTAAAGCAAAGGTCAAGGAGTAGTGACGTTATGAGGGAGTAATAATGACTCGAAGTAATGGGATGAAATTCAGGCTAATAAAACGTTTGTGTAGAGAGAATTCACCATTACTCGGCCGGACTGTTCAGTCAGGACATTCTGCTGTTATGCAGGGTATTAAATAATTGGCTTTGAGCAAACACTTCCGAAACAATCTTGTTTTTTTTTTAATAATTTCCAAAATCACCTGTTCGCTTAGCCACTGAATTTCGCTAAGCTGAGTCCAAACTTGAAGTGCGAGCTGTTGAGTATTTGAACGGACAGTAGTAATGAGGAAGAGGTCTCGGAATCATTTTCGATTGCATTTTACTTAATTCCTATTAAACTCCATATTCATTTGATAGAAGCGGCATTTTGAGTACTCCTGCCTGCAATGTTCATCTACGACTGAAAACAGCAACCGGAAATGCGATAAGAAAGAGATCTTGACAAACAATCAAGACAATGATATAATTCAAGGAAACATTTTAAAGGACAAGAATGTTTATTCACGAAGACATGTATTGAGAGCGAAGTGCGTCTCTGTAATGAATAAAACCATGCAGATCAATAACCAGAGTATGATACCATCAACTGACGTGATACAATTCACATGACTACCACACAGGTTGTCGAAACGTCAGTCACTGTCAACAACAACAGTCCTATTCAGGACTACGTTCACCCGGACGATCAAACTCAACCTTCTTTTGAAATGTCTCCTGGGTTCAAACCTTTCACAGATTTTCGCCGAGTTTTCTGTTTTTCAAGATGAACTCGAGGCAAGAATAACTCTCAAAGCTTCTTCTTACCACCAATAGGTCGAAATATTCTATAATTACACTACTACATGAGAAATTTCTGCAATTTGATTGGCTTACAGCAGTGGTATTTTTGCTTAATTTGAAATAGCGGGTAGCAGTATAAACAAATAATAGCATGATTTGTACGTGATATTTGGCATAAATACCACTATATTTCAAAATTGTCTCAAATTTCACTCGCCTAAGGGCTCGTGGAATTACGTATAACAATTTCGAAATATCACTCATGGTATTTTTGCCGAATATCACTACAAATCATGCTATTACCTATACAAATATTCTTCAGAACGTTTTCCTTCTAGCCGCAGTCAGAAAATTTCAAAACATGCCTGACTTTTTAAATTCTTTACTTGGTCAGATCATTGTCTCAAATCTTACAAATGTGCGTAAAGTGACGCAAAAACAATGCTCTACTTTACGAACATGAAACCAGAAAAAAAAACGTCAAATGCAATATAATTACTCAAGCTCACCGGTCGAGATGCAGCTCGCATGAAAGCCATGAAGTAAGGTCAGAATCGCAGAAGATTTTTCAACCCGTAAGCATCCAGTAGGGCGAAGTACTAAGAGTAGCTTATTTTTGCAAACGATGATTTCCGATGAAGCTAACTTTTTGACAAGTGGCGCATTTCTCAACCAAAAAACCAATAAACAGGCCAGCCAAGAACAACAAACGAATCTTGATAGCAGCTGTATTTGATTTTGTAGATCCAGTGAAAAATGATACGGTTAAACCGTAACTAGAAAGAAACTCGCGAAGCTCGGGGGAGGCTCATAAAATTTCAGGGATGGAGGGGGGAGAGAATTGGAGAGTAAATTGTGTAACTGGGGAGGGCGGGTTTCAACACTGGCTCTAGGGTTTCCAGATGCTGCATAGACAGTGACACTTCTCTTAATTAGTGATCCTCTTCACTAGCTCTTCGCCTGATAATTCGCGCTGTCTGCCTTTCTCTTCTTCCTCTTCAATGTCGCTTTTCACTTATAAGCAAATAGGTTGAACTCAATGCGCTATTGTTTGCTGCCATAACAATTTTTCGAAACAGTTTACTAGCACTACGCAGGGTCACAAAATCCTTATGCTATGAAATAGTTGAAAACAAGTTCCTAAAGTAAACAAGTTTTTTAACACGACGGAACGCGACTACAATGGCAAAACGGTTTCTTGCGCATTTTCCCGCCCAAAAAACGCGCGTTGCACAAATGCGTCGCAAGGTTTCCTGGCAAGAAAATATAACATACTCCTCCCCCCGGACGGCCTGACACCTGATTCCCTTCCCTCAAAGAGTGTACGGGCGGACGGAGTACGCTGACGTCACAACCAAAATTTCTGGAATGGATAGTTTACCAAATTATCTTCGTATGGGACTCTGTTTCGCGCGCGCGTAAAATTCCGAAAATAGGCCCCTCCAAATATAAGCCCCCCTAAACTCGTAACGCAAAAAACCCTCCGATAATTCGCCCCTCCAAATACAAGCCCCCGAGGGCATGTACTCGAAATTTCCCTCAAATTCAAAATAAAACAAAGCAAAAACTATACAGTAACACATAAATTTTTGCATTTGCCAAAGAACTATAATATTACTGTGCCACTTAAATGACTGCAGTCAAAAAGTGTCACAGTATATTGCTGTTTGCGTACGTTTCACTCTTTAGTCTTGGCTTGGATTTCCTCGGTCCATATAGACAAAGTACTTGCATGGCTAAGGTTTAGAAATCTCTACGTCCGCAAGGCGAGTTTCAGGAAAACTTTGCTGCAAATTTCTGACATAAATTCAAAATCGTCTAACTATGAACTAGCCCAATGGATTCTGAGACGCACGTTTCACTCCGCTAAAGTAAGCCTAGGCGATTTTGAAACAGAAATTCCCTCCGTATATAGGCCCCTCTGATTATAAGCCTCTCAAAAAGGCCCTTAAATATATATATATATAAGCCCGCGGCCGCTTATTTTCGGAATTTAACAGTAATGAAATCATTCAATGTCAAATGTCAATGTCGATGTTGTTGAAGTTACTTAGGAGGTTCTATTAATGGTTTGGCACGCTAAGGAAAAAGAATCTGCCCAATTTGAATTAACATAAGATCTTTTTAAGGGATTAAAACTCCTAATTCTTTTCACTTCATTTTTTCATCGATCTATATATTCTAGTGACTGCAAAACCTGCGCTCTGGGATTTATTTAAAAGATCTTGAAATGTTGCCAGTATATTTTCTATTTGTTTTGAATAATACACCGAGGAGTTTACAAAAAACAAAACGAAAAATGGTACGTACTATTTCACCCTTTTTGCATGGTACCAGAGACAAAAGAACTTAAAAAAGCAAAAACATAGCTTTTAGGTGCAAAAACAGGGAGTTTTGTTGTGCTTGCGCGTATTGTAGCAACCGGCGAGCATAAGAAAACTTGTCCCATTTTCTTAGTGACTGACCAGGATACGGCTACTCAAACCGGGACACTTGGAAGAAAATTGTCCAATCACAACGTTTTTAGAAAGCAAAAGCCATTTCTCAAGTTTTTTTTTGCAAACAGACCAATAAAATTCAAGATTCAAATAAGCAACCGTTGAAAACTTTAA